GACTGGTTTGCATTGAAGGGACCTTAAAGCTCCTTCAGCTCCGACCCCTTCCACTGGAGCAGCTTGCTCCAAGCCCCTGTGCCCAACCTGGCCTTGAGCACTGCCAGGGATGGGGCAGCCACAGCTTCGCTGAGTACCTAGACCTGGACATGGCTCGGGCAGTCCCCTGCTCACCTGGAGAAGATGCTGTAGATGATGATCCACCTGAAGTCACTACTCAAGAAAATAGTGTTTTATAGTAGCAGGACACGAGTGGCTGATTGCCCAAGATCTCTGCACAGGGATGCTATTCTGATCCGTTTTCTGGCAACATTCGGCTTTGACACATTTACAACTGAGATGTGGAAAGCATCCCTGTGTACTGCATCCTCAGGCACTAAACTTTATATTAATTTGCAGAAACTGCAATTTAATAGAAATGTAGTACTTTGCACTAAGGTCTTTTGATGTGCACAAAAAGGGAGGTTTTAGGAGACACCAAAACCCAATCTTACGACTAGTTTGGCTGGTGGATAGACTTGGCAGTTGAAGTGGAAGATGGAATAGTATGTTTGTGCTTGTGCAACCCTCCTACCAGTCCAGTGCCACCCTTTCTCCAGTGGCTAGCTCTGTGATGTGATTGGGGTGCTGTGGTCTGCCCCTCCTTCCCAGTGCTGATGTCTGTTTGGCCCCAAACTGGGCTGGAATGCTGAGGAGGAGTATGGGGAGGGAGAGGGTGGCCTTTGCATGGCAGCCTGCTGCGATGCCAGCCCTACCTGGGGCAGCTGCTCTGTGTGTGCTTCTGTCTTCATCAGCTTTCACCTCATGCTGCTGTCATCACCCCAAAGGAAAGCGTTCTCTTTGGGATGCGATAGGTGCAAGGTGCACTTCCCGGTGGTTCAGATGGAGCTGCAGAACTGGATTAAAGATCTTTTCAGCTCCAAGTTCCTCCCAGGGGCCTCTGTCTCACCAAAGACATAGGAGAAAGGATGGCGAAGTGCTGGTGCCCTGCTGAGGCCTGAGACCTGCCAGTGGGATGGACTGGAGCAGATCCCAGCAGTACCCAAAGCCAGCAGCATCTTTGGCTTGGCCCTGGGCAGTGCAGCACATCTGGATGCTTGTTTCCCAGTGAAAGTGCAGGAATGGATCCCAGGTCAGCCTGGGATTCTCTGTTCCTTGATGGAAAACGCCACCCCACAGCACAGTCCCTCTTGCTCATGGTCTCAGGGGAATAACTTGTTCATTTTTCCCCCACGTTGCCCCTCTCCACACCCACCTTTTGTGTCTTTTGAATTCAATCAGCTGGGTGACTCAGTACTAAATATAAAGCCGCTTCCGGCATCATCTGCCTGTGGCTCATTTCCTGGAGCTGACATCAGTGGAGCCTCTGATTTCCTTCTGAAACACCAAGGCATGAGATGTCCTTTGCAGGGTGCTCTGGCCATGCCCGCTGGCTTCCTTGGTGGCTGCAGGGCTCCCTGCTGCCCCATAGCCACGCTGTTCACCGCTAAGCTGGAGCGCAGGGGAAGTCCTTGGGTCTGTTTTATGCTGCAGAATCCTCCTCTGGTTTGCAAGCGTGTTTTCAATCAAGGCGAGCTTTCCATCCCTGCTGCATATGCAAGGGTTTTATTAAATAAGCATGAGGCTGACGGATGTCTTGCTTTCTTCCTGATGACAGGCTCCCTGAAAGAGCAGCTCAGGAAGCTTTTAGGGGGGAAATTAGCAAAGATGGGTTGGGGTTTTTTTGCTTTAAAAAGACTGATAAATTGAGGAATTGAGGCCAAATGCTTGCTCCTCACTTGTCAAACCCTTCCAGAGCTGTTTACATCGGGGCAATGCTCTCTGCAGTTGGTTGCAGCTGGAGGTGAAGGCAAGAAGTGCACAGAGCCTCAGTTTGTGTCACAAAGCCCAGGGGAGGGTGCTTCTGTCCATGCGTGCATAACTTCATTAAATCCTTCTCTTTGAAAGAGGATGTGGACAGAACCGGAGGAGGGGAGCGTCTGGCACATGGCAAATGGTCACTGATCCCAGCCGAGTGGATGGCCACTCAGCTTTGCTCTCTAGAGCCCTGGCTAAGTGTGGTGTCATCCTCATCATGGAGCAGACAATTTAGATTACCTGGCTTCTCCTCCAGCTGGTTATTCTTTTGGCCCTGTCTTCTCCAGTGGAACTGGCTATATCCCATCAAACAGCTTGTTTTAGGCAGGAACTGTAGGTGCCTGTAGGCAAAACCCTTCCCAAAAATCACTGGGGTTGGTGTAGCATACCCAGGGACTGGTGCATCGTCATGGCTTTCATTAGTCGTCTTGTCATGGCATCTCTTGACAGTGCCAACAAGGAGTTGGAGTGGGCTGGAAAGCAATGGTTTGTGTTGGAAGGGACCTTAAAGCTCCTCCAGCTCCAGCAGGGACCCCTTCCACTGGAGCAGCTTGCTCCACGCCCCTGTGTCCCACCTGGCCTTGAGCACTGCCAGGGATGGGGCAGCCACAGCTTCTCTGGGCACCCTGTGCCAGCGCCTCAGCACCCTCACAGGGAAGAGCTTCTGCCTAAGAGCTCAGCTCAGTCTCCCCTCGGGCAGGTTCAAGCCATTCCCCTTGCCCTGTCCCTACATCCCTTGTCCCAAGCCCCTCTCCAGGTTTCCTGTAGGCAAGATCTTGAACGTGCTCCTTTCCTCCCCTAGAGCTTTGCCAGAGGGACTGTTACTGAGGGCGCTGCTGAGTGCAGAGGGCCGGGGTGACTCCTGGGCTGACCCCTTGCTCCATCATCACCTGGAAGGCAGCGGCTGCCGCTCCCTCCGCCGCTGTTGAGTAATCTCTGGAGGGCAAATCCCTGTCAGCGGCCTCCCAGCGAAACTTGGCAGCGGGGCCGGGGAGGAGCCGTGTCCTTGCGCAAGGATGCGCTGGAGGGATCCTGCCGGTGCCGCGAGTCCTCCTGCAGCGCGCACCTCATCCCCGTGCTCCCCCCGCGGTGTCACCTGAGCCCAGTCCCTCCCGAGCACCCCGTGCTTCCCCACGGGGCTGTGGGGCAGGGGGTGCGCAGCGGGCGCCGCCTTGGCCAGGACGCTCCCTAGTGTGGAAGTGGGGGCGCGGTTCGTGCCCAGCCCCGCGGGGGAAGTGGGCTGGGAGTGCCGGGAGCAGGGCTCTGCCATCACCGCACCCTGGGCTCGGGGCATGACGCAGCCGTGAGTGGTGCTGGCACCGCTGAGCTGCTATTTTAGGCTTGAGCGTAATTGCAGGTTGGAGCGGGAGGGCTGGGCTCGGAGAGGGCTCCGAAAGCGGTGGAAAAACTGGCTATTGCGGAGCCTTGGCACATGTGGAGACGGGCGTTCCACATGGCAGCGGGACTCGTGGTGGGGCCCCTGGGGGTCTGTGCTGGAGGCAGTGGGTAGCAATGCCCGTTCCCGTCCCAGCAGAGGGAATGGGGATCACACCCCATAGTATGCATTACCTGAAAAGAAAGAAGTAGATGGGTGAAGGTCTGTGGGCTGGTGGCTTTTAGGTGTCCACATCATCTGCCACCAGCACATGATGCTTTCCTATCACAGCAGCATGGATGCCAGGCACAACAAGAGGAGAGTTTTGTCTTTTCCCTCCCAAACGCACACATTGCTCCTGCGATGGCTCTGGCATTGATAAATGTCACATAACCCAGGCTGGGAGCTGGGTTTGGCTCAGTCTCTCCGGGACCTGCCAAGCCCCAAAGCATCAGCACTTCCCAAAGCTTACAGGGGGAATTTACACTGTGCGGTGTGCTCACACGGGGAGCGAGGTGCGGAGGGACTGAACCTCCTGAAACCAGTTTCCCCCTGTTTGGTGTTTGCCCCAGGATGTGGTGGATGCAGTCACCAGGTTGGAGCCAAGGGCTGCAGTGATGCTAACGCTGGTTGTTGCTGAAGGTCAGAGCAGAGTTGGAGTCGCTCTCCCCTAAGCCCTGTGTGATGCTCAGGCAGCCTGACCTCAGTGGAGTGCAAAAGTGTTTTTCAAGCCAGTGTCTTTCCTTTCAAGTTGCAGCTGCATTTCTGGGCATAAAAATGTCTATTTTGGTTCCCATTATTTTTACTGTCCTGAGGAAGCCGTCAGGTTGTGGCTTTGGGCTTCTTTTTATACCTCCTTTAGAACTTTACAGCTGGAAGCCAAATTTTCAGGTGCTACCCAGGTAATGGCACTGGGCAGTGACTCCCTGTCCTGCCTGGCAGCACTTTTAAAGGGGAACAACTGAAAATGACCCTGTTGGTTCAGTGTTCTGAATTTTCAGAAGGGTCACAGGTTCCTCAAGTTGTTCACTAATTGGAGCATCAGTAAGGGATGTCCTTTCCTTCCAGCTATGGGAGGGGTCGAACATGATGGGTTTCACAGGAATGGAAATTTCTGCAATGGGTGAGATGCTTTGGAAATCCCACTTAACCTTCCTTTCTGGTGACTGATTCTGCTCCTGTGCGTTGCATCAGCAGTAACACAGAACATGATGCTTCTGTTGCTTGTGCCCTCCTGGTTAGTAGCAGATGTGTGTCCTGGATTCAGTGAGAGCAGACAGGAAGGATTGAGGTAATGAAATGAAGTGCATTATGGACCAGCTCTGCACTTGGTATTTGCCACCCATCCAGACCACTTTGTTGGTTTCTTTTGGAGCCACTGTGCTGTGAAATAGCAGGCAGCATCCTCCCTCAGTGTGGACCAGGGCCAAATAGGTCTGGATCTGCGTTGCTGTCTGTGAGCTGCTGTTGGTTTTAAAGATATCCATAGAATAAGTACATAAAATACAAGCCCCATGTCACTGTTTGGCTGGGCAAGCTGAGAGCCAGCAAAGCTGCACTGAATTTAAACCGTTAAAGGTGAAAGTTCTTTTTGTTTCAATAAATAACTAGAAGTCAGTTTGCTTACCTAAAAGCTTTATTATGTCTGACTGGCTGCTGCTCCCCAGTGCCCAGCACTAAAAGCACGGCAGCACTTGGAGCATCCCACACCCGAGCAGCCTGTCCTCAGCCTTTCCAACGCCTCTTTCTGTGCCATGACCGCATCTCTTCCGTGGCTCTGGGGAAGCGACCTCCCATCTGCGGGGCGGGGATGCTGGGAGGAATGCTGGCTGTCCGGATCAGCGCCGCGGCTGGGACACGCTTCAGCCCAGCCGACGGACCCATTCTGGTGAGGAGCAGAGGTAAGGGTGCTCCTGGGATGCTGCCGCTGGGGGTCCTGGCTGCAGGGATGCGAGCACACGCCAGAGATCATCCTGCAGCGACTTGTTTTGCTTTGATTTGTGCCTGCGAGGCATCTGCTGCTGGAGTGGGTCAGGGGGAATAGCTGGAGGCAGAAGGAAAAGATTAATTTGGGGGTTTGGTGTGTTTTAGGCTTGGGATTTATCTGTGCACAGGCAAACAGGGCAGCAGCGAGTGCTGCCACTGACTTTACATCACTGGGCTGTGAATGTCCCGGGGGAGGACTGAGGGTGTTGCCTTCCCAGAAACCTCGGTCTCGGCACATCTGAATCCCGTCTCGGTCTGCAGCAGCCTTTGAAAGAGCAGAACTGCTCAAACTTGCATGTTTGGAGAGTTAAATATTTAAAGCTCTGCTTGCAGAAAGCGTGAGGAGCTCTGAGAGCTCTCGGGGAATTGCCTGCGGGGGCTCCCCAAGTGTTGGGGGTCCTTTGCCTGGAGGGGCTCCGGTGGGAGCAGTATCCGGTGGGAGCGGCATCCGGCATCACAGCCTGGCAGGGCTTGGTGTCCGAAGTGAGGAACTTGCTGTGTCTTCTGGGGGAGGCTGGCTGTGCTCGGTGCTGGAAGTCAGCACAGACCCTCTCCTAATGCTTTACTACTAGCTCAAACACTTCCAGAGTGAATACTTTTCGGTATTGGACTGAAAAGCTGAGCTTTTTGTGCTGAAAAGCTTAGACTTAACATGTGTGGGGTCCCATAAAACACATCTCGTGCGGCTGCTTTGTGGCCTGGTTTTGTTTATGCTGAATGTGTTGCTCTGAGGTTTTGCTTATATTTTACTCTTACCCTGCTTTTATTCTGCAAAACATCTGGCTGTAAGGAGGGAGCTCACAGCTGGAGGGCTCTCACACCCTCCTGAAGCTTGGAGTAGCAACGAGGCTGTGTGCTGTTTATGGTGCACGCATCTCCTTAACCACTACACCTGTCCTAGGGGTATTGGGCACTGGCAGTGCTGCTAAACCAGGGGAGGAGGAGGTGGCAAAACAGCTTGAAGGGTCCCAAAGGGAACTTGTGTGGATGCTGGATGCACCTTGGAGATCCTGCCTGGCCTTGAAACTGGTGATTAGGGTGCGTTTTGTAGGGATTAGGAATGGTTGCTCACAGTCCAAGGGTCACAGAGCAGAGCTTGCCACTGCTCCCCTTTGCTCCCCATGGCTCTTGCCCAAAGGCAGTTAGATTACAGAGGAGTGCAGGGAACACCCTGCTGTCAGAGTGAATGTGATGGCACTATCGTGACAGCCTCCTGGGAGGCAAAGGCAGCAGCTCTCCTGCTCCTCTAGCTCCTTCACATTCATCTTTGAGATTGACGTTTCTGCTTTTGTCAAGGTAGATAGGATCTGAGCCGGCTTCTCTGGAGGAAGCAAATGTTGAAGTTACAGATTGGTTTTATACTTCCAGAAGCTGCTAGGACAGCTATGCCATGACACTGATGTATTGTGCTCTACTGATGCTTGCCTCCTCTGGATCAAATTATTTTGACTTCTTTCCCTTTCCCCAAATGCTTCCTGAACAAGATTACAGGCAGCAGGGGAGGATGGGAAAAGGTTTTTCTTCTTTTATCACTTGGTTTTTCTAGTAAGACATCAGTTACCGAAATCTGTGGTTTCTAAGAGACTTTTAGAACATAATTGCAATGTGTAGAGCAGGGTTTGCAGTTTCTAGAGGTTTGTTTCTTGTTTAAGGCATGCCCCATCCCTGGCAGTGCTCAAGGGCAGGTTGGACACAGGGGCTTGGAGCAAGCTGCTCCAGTGGAAGGGGTCCCTGCCTGTGGCAGGGGCTGGAGCTGGAGGAGCTTTGAGGTCCCTTCAACCCAAACCACCCTGTGAATCTCTAACACAGGTCTCTGGATGTTTATCATGGGGTCAGCAGTTGCCCAGCTGCTGGGATTTCATAGAACCCAGGGATGGGGCAACCACAGCTCCTCTGGGCACCCTGTGCCAGCGCCTCAGCACCCTCACAGGGAAGAGCTTCTGCCTAAGAGCTCAGCTCAGGCTCCCCTCTGGCGGTTTAGATCCCTTTAGGTATTGGAAGACTGGAACAAGGTTTCCCTTGAGCTTGGCTGTCCCATTTCAGGCCAGATCTGTTCACCTTCGGGCTGATGCACACACTGTAGAATCGCTCCACCACATCTGTCCCTGGTAAAGGGCTGCCCAGAACCCACCCTGCCAGGCTGAGCTGCTGAGGCTCGCTTTGGTCCAGCTCCCCAGGGATGGCACCATCACGCTGGGGGTTTGGCTTGCAGGAGCTTGCTTGCTGGCACTGAGTAGGCAGTGAGTGTGCTGTGATTTAATTCAGGGATCTTGCTGATTGCCCTGCCTGGGCAGGAGGGGAGGTTACGAGACCGAGTAATGCTTCTTGCTTCATCTGTTTTAGCCTTGTGATCCTCACTTCTCCTTGCTTATGCAGGTGGGGAACACGCTGGCTTTCCCACCATCACTCTGAGAGTCCCGTCATACAGTGAGGGATGCCTTATGTTGAGTTTTGCAGTGGGTGGTAAGAGGTGGGTCCTTTCTTGAAGTCATTTATGGTTAAGGTACTGAATGAGCAGTAGGAAGCGTTTAATGCTGCTTTTATTTGGGGAACTGTGCAAGAGTAAGAGTTATTATCAGCATAAGAATTTCCTGAGAGGCCAGCATGAGTTTTCTGAGCCTGAGCCAGGAATTTACATTAAGCCTTCCAAGTCTCAGTCCATTAGCTGACATCTGACCCTGCCCCCCGCCTTTTACCTTATTGCACTTAGGTTTAAATGATCTATGAATGTTACTTGGTGTTGCAAGCGCCAGGCAGGATGAGTGCTCAGCGCTTCCTTTCCTGAGAGCTCTCGAAAGCTCACCTGGTTCATGTTGGATTAATGGGTTAACCGGGAATCTTGCTGCTCTGTTTCCACTGATGTGAGCAAACTGCTGCACTTCAAGAGTGAGATAAATCTCGGAGGTCATGGTGGCGACTGTGCTCTCCTCCTGGAGTAGCTGCTCTGCTAAAACTGTGCCAAAATGCAACCTTTGGGAGAAGCATTTTGCAAAGAAGCTTTTAAGGACCGATTCACTGGTGCCCTGAGTGGTGTTTCATCTGCTGTTCCCTGCAGATTGTAAGTACTCTGCAGATACATGCAATAGAGTTGGAGCAGCAAGGTGCTCACAGCAGGTGATGAGTACGTGTGAGTGCAGCAGCAGTGAGGTCTAGCAGGCAGCTGCTCTCCCCCTTGACAGCCGGCTCTGCTCCTGCTTTGACCCTCATCCCACCCCCTTGGCTCTGGTCGTCCACATCAGGAGCATTCAGAGGAGGATGCAGGTTTGCAGCAAGCTATCCATGCTTTCCCTTCCCCTTGTGTCCCAAACCACTTTTATGTTTCTGCCACTTCAGCCTCCTGATAGTAAATGCTGGGTCATGGTGGTAGGCAAGCGTCCATCTGCTCTGCTCCAGGATTGCATGTCACTGCTTAATGTGCATCAGAAGCAGCTCTGGTTCATATTCCTTCAGGGCTGCATGGGGATCATAGAATCTTGGAGTGGTTTGGCTTGGAAGGGACCTTAGAGCTCATCCAGCAAATTGTGTACCCAAATCCCTACAGATTTCTGTGCCATATCCCCAGCTTTGCAGCATTCTGGAGGATGCTCTTAAGGTTTCCTGGGCTTTTAGCAAGGGGCTGATCCCTGTTTGATGCTGTGAGCAGATTTGATGCTGATTTTGGGTTTTCTGTGGGTACCGGCTCCAGCTCGGTTCTGGGTGCTGAATACTTTGACCATTTTCTGGGCCATCTCCTTGGCTGTGCAGGGTGTCAGAGGCATGTCAATTGGCTGATGGGTCAGCAGTTGTTTTTAACAAGGGTTTAAGATGACTGCAGATGGTGAATCTGGTTCTGTCTTGAAGGGAGAGAAAACACTTTGAGCATGCAAAAGTGAAGGATCATCTTGTCCAGGCTGTCCATGGACACTGGGTTAGTCTGAGCAGGAGGCACAGGAAAACTGTTTTGCTGTAGTTCCCATACCATGGAGTGACCCTGCCTCTGGGCAGCCCACGTCCCTGCTGGGCATCTCCCAAAGTGCTGCTTAGAACCTCTGGCATCCTTCTGCACGGTTTAGCTCGGAGAAACTGGGTTTTTAACCTGGAGGAAGGTGTGTGTCCAGAGGTGGACACCCCATAAAGACATGCCCCCAGTCCGGAGGGAGCGGCTGCAAGCCAAGTGCAGTGACTCATCCCAGTGCGTGTGTCTCTGCTCCTGATGGATTTGACAGGCTTTTCCCCCGCAGCAGCAGAGTTGTGTAACAAAGGGAGCAAAGTCTGCTCCCAGGTGACAATAAGCACAGCAGGGAGCTGGTCTCTCCCCGTGTGACAGCTTCAGGGATTTGGGAGGATATAAAGCAGAACCCACTGATGGGACTATTGCTGACATGGAGATGCTTCAGAAGCCCGGCAGCTGGAGGTCATCTCTTGGTGGGATTGGGAAGAACTGAACTGTAAACTGCCTGTGCAGTGGCACTTGCTACCTGCAGTCTTGTGTCCTTTTCCTGAGAGGCACCACATGGCTCTGTAGTAGCTGGTGGGCTGCACAAGCAGCATGGACCAGTCCAAGTGTGTTCTCTGTGGGTAAAGGCAGTAAAGATGAAAGTGTGGTGAAAGTCTGGTTGCAGCCTGTGCTCGGTGACTGGATGGAAATTGCCAAATCCAAGTTTCTGTGCTTCCCACAGCCCGGTGTTTGCTAACAGCCAACCTGTGGGTGCTGCCTGGGAGGAACCTGAGGAACAAAACATTGCTTGAAACACACAAACTGATTTATGAGCAGGAGAGGATGGATTCCATGATAGGTTTTCATTTACAAGCCATCCATCCCTAAACTTCCCTGTCTGCCCCCAGAGCGGCAGGTAAGCATTTATCTGAGGACTCATCAGACCGGGTCCGTGCACTGCAAGCTTTCACTTTCTCTTGTTGCTGTCAGGACAGGGCA